ATAAATAATAATAAATAATAATAAATAATAATAAATAAATAACAAATGATAACCAGTAATAAAATATATAGTAACAACAATAATGGTAATAAATAATATTATTTCAGGAATTTGCCAGTGGACATCCGTGCAAAAACCATGAAATTATCGGATTTGAGTCCCGCGATTGTTTGGCAACCGATAATGCTCAATGCAAAGGGCCCTTCTTCCGTTACTGTACGATATCCTGTTGATTATAAAGTGAATGAATACGGAGCAGTGGAACTAATATTTCATATAATAAACATTTGCAGTTTGCAGTTATGCCATATTTTTTAGCCAGTGAATTCTTAAAATCGAATTTATTTTTTTCCACCACTCACCATTAACAGAAATATTAAACAATGGGAAAACCCAGCACTCTTTTACCAATAGCAATGGGTTTCAATTATTAATGATAGTTGATAAGCATTTATTCGAATAAAAGATGTTCTTCGTCGCCTTGCTCAGAGAATCCCTTTTCATTGGCTTGAATCTTGTAAATGTTTTTCTGATGGTGAAAAAATTATAATTTGCAAATATTTGCAATTTTATGAAACATCACAAAAAAAATCTCATCTATTATATTTGATAAAATGCACAAATATAAAATGGTTTGCACAGAAAATTTTCATGAAAATTGATTTTGTTCTTCAACTAATAGATGCCACTATCAAAGTCATATTTTTAAGGTATTTAGTTCTTAAGACAGCTTCAAAAATAATTGAAATAGCACGTTGAGCGATCATCGACGTTCAAGTTTCACATCCCACCTGAACTGTTAACTTCAAATTATCCGATCATGATAATATCAATAGGTGAGGATTATTACTAATTGTCAATCAAGAAATTGATTCCCAAATGAAACAGTTTCTTCAGAAGATGCTTCGATTTCTCTCATTAATCTGTTACCCATTTTTATTATCAAAAAGCAGCAGTGGCAGGTTTCAGAATTGTCTGGGGAAGGAAGCAACCAGTTAAATGGCTTTGGATCTTTGTGTTTGTTCAAGTTTTAAAATTAAAGAGGTTGAGAAATGCCACAAATAATCCTTCATATCCCATCTCCTATGCTACCAGTGTACCAAATTTGATATATTTAAATCGAAAATGAGGAAGAGAGGCTATAACCGAGTTTCTTCGATACTTATACACGCGATTAAGTGGAAATTCTGAAATTATATCCTTTTAAAATGAACGACAGAATGAAATCGATTTCTTTTGTGACTATTATAGTTGTGTTTGTGAAAAGTGACCTTAGAAATAGAAATAGGATCGGAAGGTCAGTAGTTATGTGAACATGTGTTGAGATGATGACCATAGAGAGCGTGTTTTTACCGTTTTGTGCAGAGGTCATCCGTCTTCAGACAGAGAAGAGGACTTTCAGGAGGTGGTCACATCCCTAACAATAGGTGTCTTGCTTATTGGCTACAACGTTAGATTCTTTCTTAATTGAGTGTGCTGCAGAAAAATGATTGAGCAGTGTCGTTTCCATCCCTCTCATCTTCAACACTGCTTTCCAAACACTCAAAGAGTGGTGACCCCTTCGCAGGCAATTCTTCCTCATTTTTCTCAATTTTTACACTTTCTTTTTTCAATCTTTACTTTCCACAAGCAAGGAATTTGATTAGGTTTCATCTGACGTTTCTACGACAAACTCACTTCCAACATGATGCAACAGGTCAAATTTACAATTCTTTTTTTAACATTTTTAAATGAAATAGGAAACGAAACAATTTCTCTTCACAGCATTATAATTGGCAGTTGCAGCAAGTTGAAGTAAGTTATGATATATTTTCCATGCTTCAAGAAAGCTAACCTTTGCCACATGTCACTGACTGAGACAGAACTTGAGTGATTCTCGAATATACTGAATATAGAATGGTTAAATGGTCGGCATCGTGTCCATACACGTCCCTGACCCTTTACTTCTACTGTACCGTGTTGTACTGGGAAGTGTGGAAACCTGAAGAGTCCTGCTCGCAAATAATCAGTCACCACAGATGAGCGCAACATCTCCCCTCGGTCAATTGCGCTTTATTGAATAGAACTTTCGGTTTATTCATCATAAAGCCGTGCTAAATTAGAGCTTAGTGCAATGCGTTGTGGCATATCGTTCTCACCACCTTTCACACCAAATGTTGTGTTGGGAAGTTTCTGCTGTGATGGAAAGACTCTTTTGAAGTAATCATTTTGGTGACATGTGAGGAAGTGCGAGAACGGGTCGCATCTTCCTAGTTCCTAACGATGACAGAGGTTAGGAATGTGGATAGGTGACCAAGAGGATGCAGAAGATTGGGTTTAGGAAAATTAACAATCACTGATAGACTTAACTGATAATGTTAAAAGTGATAGCACTGATTGAGAGCAAAGATTAGATGGGAGGTCTGCGCGCTTTTTTTTGAAGTTTTTGTAGTTGATGCTTTTCCTCCTTATGTGATGGTAGCTCAGAAAAAAGGAAAAAGGTTCAGCACAAACGCCATAAACTGTGTTGCGCTTCAATCTGATATAATTTGACAGTAATGATGTCCTTCTCTTTCTTCCTTCTCATAATTCTGAAAATTTGATGTCGTCTTCTTAGCCGATGACATCAAGCTAGTCCTGGGAATCCATTGATCAGTTAGACATGATAAGAAGCGTGTCGTATTTTGCAATCACTTTCATCCAATGATAAGAAGAAAAGATGTAATGAATCGTTAATTCGGAGAGAAGAGCACTGGAGGGAGAAGGGAGTGAAATTCTGATATAAATGAATCGAGCGTAATTGATAGGTTGGTCAACTCTCTTCCAATCCTCTTTTTTCCTTTTCCTCTGCAAACAAAGGATTAGAAATGGTTCATAGTCTTATTCAGTGTGAAGTGGGACCTTTACTGATAAGTGATAGCGACAAGATATCACTGTTGCATGGTAGCTACAGTACGTGTTACACCTGCTTAATAAAGCCTCACGCAAATCCAGTGGCAATTCGGGGAACACCACATTCAAGTATGTTATTCTCCAATTTTGTTGCAAACTCATGTATTGTCTATGTAACCAAAGTATTGAGTGTTGTGTTATATTGCGCTTCTCACATTATTCTCCACCATTACTTTTGTGAAGTACGGTGATTTGAAAAAATAAGTTTGTGGTTGAGACAACTTGCTAGTCACTGGGAGATAAGTTATTTGAGGTAAGCACTAGATTCGATAAGGTAAGTCTCTTGTAAGTCTCTCCGGTGATACGAGGAAAAAATAATTTTGAAATTCATTGGCAGAAGCAATTAATTTTAGGGAAGAACCGGGCGAAAGGACACATTCAAGAGAATGCCTACGCAAGCAATGCACAGTACTCGCATCACTGTTGATGATGAAAATCTGCACCTGTGGGGATATAAAACAAACATGATAAAAACGGTATGTGCGCCACGTAAGTTTGAAATCAAAGATCAAAGATTAGACGGTGTACATATATTGAGTTAACCCTCTGAGAGCAAGTGCAGTGATCATGCGTTTAATGTTATTTTTCGTTAAATACTGTAAAATATTTGCAGGCGTTAACGTGGATAATTACGGTACTTACTTTGGGCGCATTCCGTTTATTATTGTATTGGTATCCGAAGTGGTGGGTAAAATGTACTGCTTCGGAATGTTCTCTCAGTACAGCAGATTGCCTTTTGATTCAGTCAGTTATATTTATCATTCCTAGAACTTTTCCTATTTTATCGGTAATGAAAAATAGGTGGCATCAAGTTACACATTTCCTAAAGTAATTATACAATCAGAAACGTTTAGTTTACTAAGTTTCTAGACAAAAGGTAGCAGTCAGGGTGGTTACTTATAGAAAGCTAAATCGTAGCGTTTTTACCTTAACAGTAATTTTAAGGAATGCGAATATGGATGTTGCCTTTCGCCCGGTACTTTGTATGATTAGTGATAGTGTTGTGCAAATGGGTTTGCCTGTAAGTGGTTTTCGGATGATTGATGTAAGCACATTGAGATACTTCACTTTTAAAAAACTTACCCATCTTTGGTATCCTGACGAGAATCGATTCATTTCAATTGATTCACTAGATGTTGATGTAAGTTTATTTTTTAGTTACGGACTAGAATTTGTGAGCCGTTTTCCTTCAACCTGTTTTTTTCTATTTACTACATATATTTCTGACTTGAAGTGAATCGATCAGTGCTGTGAACACACTTCGTACCTAACAATATTTTAGATTGATTTTCACCGCTTTCATATTATGGCAAAAAAAGGTCTAAATAGCGCTGATATCGCTAAACGTTTGGCAGTTTATGGGAAGAATATAATTGATATAAAGCTCAAGCCACTGCATGTTCTCCTTTTTCGTGAAGTTTTATCTCCTTTCTACATATTTCAGTTGTTTAGGTGCATATTTCATTTAAATCCATTATGACTATTTCCAGTATTTCCAGTGATATTAAAATTCATGCTATGTTAATGCTATAGGGAGTTTTTATAGCGTCGCGGTTTGGTTTTCGGATCATTATGAGATATATGCTAGCGTTATTGTTGCCGTATCTTTGTTTTCCATAGCGATAGATTTGTATCAGACCAGAAAGCAAGAAAGGAAATTACGAAGTATGGTTCATTCTTCGGCTTTCGTACAGGTGCTTAGAAATGGTGAAGATCCAATAAAAGTAAATAGCGAAGAAGTAAGTTTTGATTTTTGATTCCATTTCTTTCTACAACTTTGTACTATATATTTTTGCGCTGCACATCCGATTGCAGTTAGTACCTGGTGACGTGATTCTAATTCCTCCTAATGGATGTAGTATGCAGTGTGACGCCGTACTGATTAATGGCACAGTAATTGTAAATGAATCAATGTTGACGGGAGAATCAGTTCCAGTTACCAAGGTTAGTACCATTTGTGTTCGTTTATGGTCGTCTTTTTATCTTATGGATCATTCATTTAATTTTATGTTTCAATTTTTTTTAGGCTGCCTTACCCGATACTGATGATGAATCCTCAATTTTCTCGTTGAAGAAACATTCCAGGCATACATTGTTTTGTGGTACTCAAGTACTCCAAACACGTTATTATGCAGGAAAAACTGTGAAGGTATTGGTATTGAAAAGTGGATGAACTGCTAACTGCTAATGAAAAGTTTTTTATATGGATTTCTTGTTTATGCAAATATAAAATGTATATCTTCACATACCTGGCTAGGCATAATACGTTTTTTCTGTAATTGTATGACTTATTTCAGGCAGTGGTTCTTCGAACTGCTTATACAACTCTGAAAGGTCAACTAGTACGCTCAATAATGTATCCAAAGCCGGTAGATTTGCGTTTTACAGGCGATCTTTTCAAATTTATTGGTTTTCTCGGGTGTGTTGCCTTTTGTGGCTTTTCATATACCATTGCGACTATGATTTTCCGCGGTACAGATGTGAGAACAGTTATTGTGCGTGCACTGGATATTATCACTGTAGTTGTACCTCCTGCTTTACCTGGTTAGTGATTCTCTCCAACACTGTCTATACGAAGAAAGGCCTTGGAAATTACCAGGCACCTCAGTGAAAAATTATTACCGATAGCGATAATAATTCTTCACTGAAGAATCTCGATTAAGATATTTAAAAATTCATTTAAAAAGTGTAATTGCATTGCTATATTTGAATTTAGCTGCGATGAGTGTTGGAATATTGGTATCACATATGCGTCTCCATCGAAAAGATATTTATTGTATTGCTCCCTCAACGATTAATACATGTGGTGCGGTCAATGTTGTAAGTTTTGAATTTCATTCTACTTTCATTGTAAGTAATGAATTTAAAGTAACGTTTGGTTACTACTAATTTTCAATATATAGGTTTGTTTCGACAAGACGGGAACTTTAACCGAGGATGGTTTGGATTTTCATTCTGTTTGTCCTGTTGTGCAGAGCAACAATAAGGAACCGTTGTTTCGGCACGAGTTTCCGTCGCTGAATGTCAAAGAGATGTGGAACTACCGTAAGCTTGTCGAAGCAGTATCTACGTGCCACAGTTTGACACGGTTGATTTATTGCTTTCTTCCGGAAATTAGAATAAGAATACCTACAGTAGTTACAAAGTCCGCTTGAAATTTTGAATCGTCTTTGATAACTTATAATCGATCTGTTTTAAAAAAAAGTCAGTAGCTTGCAGCATAAACGGTCTTCTCTGTGGTGATCCGCTTGATTTGATTCTCTTCAAAAACACTACTTGGACACTGGATGAAACCATGAATTCAAGAATCGAAGAAACCGCCCGATTTGATATCCTGGCTCCACCAGTTGTGCGCAGTGTTCCGGGTGCATGTGGTTGCGATCGCGAAATAGAGCTTGCAATTTTGAGACAATTTACTTTCAGGTAGTGATGCCTATGTCATTTTAGAGAGGGGAAACTTATAATTTAGCCCTGTTATACTGTATTTTATTCCCAAATTGCTGTTGCAGCCTCTAAGTTATTGTTATTCTTTGTTGCGTTTCAGGAATCAGCTCACAGTTATGTTAGGATTTAAAAAATTTTATTTAATTGAAATTTTTAGTTCTTCACTACAACGGATGTCTGTCATTGTGCATGATCCGGAGGACGAGTCGCATGATATGACTTTATATTGTAAAGGTGCTCCGGAAATGATAGCTTCGCTTTGTGAACCGTCTAGTATTCCCGCCAACTACAGCGTTCGTTCATTTGGATCATTTTTCGAGAATCGTTGTTCCATGTTTTGAAATAATAATCCCGCACTCTCATTTCCCTTTTCTTACTCTTCATAAATTCAATCGAAGGATAGAGTTTTATTGCTAATCGTAATTTTGTCCACGTGTACTTAAATATTTAAGCTTTGTCCCAAGCTCATTAAAAAACATGAAGCAAAATGTTTTAGAATAATTGCACTTTCAGTCAGCATCACATATTCCTCCTCTTTCTTGTTTTAATAAATTTGATATTATTGGGTATATTTTGTTGTTATGAATTCTTCAAACTCTTTGACAATTGTACCGTTCATTTAACATTTATCGTAAGCAGTACTTTACAGAATGTCGTGAATGATTATGCACAACACGGATATCGATTGATTGCAGTTGCCTACAAAAAGCTTTATATCAGTTTCCCTAAATCGCAAAGGGTGAACAGAGAACAAGTTCGTTTTTATTGTTAGTTGAATGGCTGAGAACTCTAAGGAATCATTTTGTTACAAAAATCTGGATGAAAATAATATTTTAGAGAAAATAAGCTGTTTTTGTTTCAGGTGGAAAATGACTTGACATTGCTAGGTCTGGTAACGATGGAAAACCGACTGAAGGCGCAGACAGTAGATGTTATTCATCAACTGAATAAGTAAGGTTTTTTAACTCAACTTAAGTTTCGATCAGAACAATTGTTTATAAGTTTCATAATTGACTTTTTCTTGTTAATTAAGGAATGATATAAATTTTAGAGCTCACATTCGGACTGTCATGGTCACTGGCGATAACATACTCACAGCACTTAGTGTCGCTCGTGAATGTGGAATTATACAGCCTGTAAAGAAAGCGTATATCGTTGAATGTGGTAATCGTGACTCACCAAATTCGAGAATCCCTCTCTTGCTGAAGCAGGTTTGGCATCTGACGATGTTTTTTAGATTTAAATGTAAATCAGTCTCAATTGAATGCAGTTTACCCCTTTTTTGCTTATATTATCGCTCTTTTCGCTAAAATTTTGGATAATTGATTTCCGTTTCGTTCAGCTGATGTCAATTTCCTGCAGGCTGCTTCTTCGTCGGAAGATCTTCTGGATGATTCCTCATCAGTATATGATATGGAATCGAGGAGTTTTATAGATCCTGCTTATCAACTTTCAGTGTCTGGTTGGTACCGTCTTTAAAAATTTGCACTGTGAAAATAATTTTAATTATTTGGTGGTATCACTTTCGAGATTTCACGCTCTGATATCTGATGTAGTTCAGCAATTAGAGATTGCTTTACAGGTCCAACATTTGAAGTTATTTCTCGAGAATACCCTGAGTTGCTACTCAAATTTGTAACTGTTTGTGATGTTTTTGCACGGATGTCACCCGAACAGAAACAGATGGTAGTAAACAAACTCCAAGAAGTTGAATACACCGTGGCAATGTGTGGTGATGGTGCTAACGACTGCGCTGCCCTGAAAGTACTTACTCATTATTTTTCTTTTATTTGTATTTAATTCATGTAGTGTCACGGGAAGAACCATGTAAATATACATTTTATGTATCAAAATATACATTCTGATTCGATGGAGATTTGAATTTTACGGGTAGGCCCACAAGTTGGGTTTTTTACTATTATCATTAGTGATTCTAGAGATTTATAAAATTATTTTATTATATGAAAATTTCAGGCAGCTCATGCCGGTATATCGTTGTCTGAAGCAGAAGCCTCAATTGCAGCTCCATTCACTTCACGCATACCTGATATTCGTTGCGTTCCGATGATTATTCGTGAAGGTAAAAGCATCACTGTAATAATGACATTTTTATCCAGAAATATTGGTGTATATAACCAACAAATATTCACAATTTTTTCAGGCCGAGCTGCACTGGTGACTTCGTTTGGAATTTTTAAATATATGGCAAGCTACTCATTAACTCAGTTTATTTCGGTCGTTTTGCTTTATTGGCTTGCTACAAATCTTACAGATTTTCAGGTTATTTCTGTCCTAATTTATATCGACTTAGTTTTTGAGCTCAATGCCGATTGTTCACCCAAATTTGTGCAGCCTATTACAGTTTAAAGTTTGATGAGCTTTTCAGTTTCTTTTCATCGATTTATTCTTGGTGACAACAGTGGCTGCATGTTTCGGATACACTCCACCATGTCAGAAACTTGCAGTTTCTCCACCACCAACGAAATTACTTTCTTTTGCATCACTGCTTTCAGTCGTGGGGCAGCTCTTAATTGTTTTCATTTTTCAGGTTAGTTTTTCAATAAAAGAGTATGGTATTATGAGCGCAAAAAAACATATCCCGGCTCAAATCTCCTTTATATTATCTCTTTTATACGTTGGCGCTCGGTGTTGATTAGAAAAGAACTGAGCTTGTTACTTATTTTACAGCGCATTTGTGTTTGAAAGTTACTGAAAATAAAATTCATTCGACTGATCCTTGATCAGTTTTTTCTTTCAGTTATCTGTTTTCATATATACTGCAGCGCAGCCATGGTTTGTACCTTATTCAACTCCATTTGGAATTTCTGTTGAGGATAAAAGAAGTATGCAGGTGATTATAACAGAGATTTCTTTATTGTTTTTGTGTTTTCTGTTTGATGTTATATTTGCTTGCTGCTAAGTAACCTAATTATAAGGTTTTTGAAATGAGTTGTATTTTGATTTGCAGGGAACTGCTGTGTTTTGTTTATCCTCTTTCCAGTATTTAACTTTGGCAGTCATTTATAGCAGAGGACCTCCATATCGTAAAACGATTTTCAGTAATACTTCTCTTTGTACCTGCCTTGGTTAGTGCAGCCTTATTTCTATAGTTCACAGAAGCGGCATAATTTGTAAACAAGTTGACGTTTCTTCTTTTAGTGATATTAATTTCTGTCTGTGTATGGATCACGATCAATCCTCCATATTTTGTGGCCAAACATATGGAATACGACCCACTTCCAGAGCTTGGTTATCGGATTTTCATACTTGTTGTTGCTTTTAATTACATTTTATGCGCTTACCTGTATGAAACAGGAGTTATCGAGTACCTGATCCTTAACGTTCATGAAAAGTAGGTTATTTTATCTTCCGGTACTTTATGTTTTGCAGAGTGAAGAGTTTAGTGGCCATTATTTGGGGATCAGAGCCTTTCTAAATTTATTTAAATTCAGTTATTTAGCTTAATATTTGCTAGATAGAAGATATGAGGGTATTATTTTTATTCTAAATGATAACAAGGCATTTATTCTTATTTAGGTGGCGTAAGAAGCACTCTGCTGAGACTGATGCAGATATGCTGAACAAGAATGAAAAAATCTTGCTTTCGATTAGCAGCAGTCCAAGTTGGATTCCAAGCGCAATTGAAGAACCTAATGACCATTTTCGATTATATTCCTTCCTGAATTCTTCATGTATTACTAAGTGTTATTCACCAGGATGCTTTTAACGAAATTTGAATATATCTAAATTAGGGATCGTAATGGACACATTACGACTTGGCTCGAGGTTAGTAATAATGACCTCGCCAGAGTAATGCAGGAAATTTATGCCATTGTAAATATATTTTAAAAAAACTGATCTTCCAGGTGTCCTTCATTTTGCTAATACTCTTGTTTCCTTTTCCTATCAGTTGTTGTTGCTTTAAATTTGTCTTTAGTCCTTTTGTTAGCAAGGACATGTTGTTCGCTATACAATTGTTTACTTATACTTTTTCAGCCAACTTTTAGAGAATTAATGCAGTTTCAAAAACTATTCTTTTTTTGAATAATAGAACAATTGTCAGTTGATATTATCATTTACTGTAAAGAAAAAACTGTTCAGTCATTTTTGTTATTTTGTATGATCTTATTTTGTTATTTTGTAACGTCATTTTTCATACGTTTTATTCGTGCTGTTCATGAAAGATTCTGAACTGATATATTGCTAATACCTTTTGTTGTTTTTTCTACAGTTTTTAACAACTTCACTAATGCGCTTTTTTCTTACTTACTTTTGGATGTATTAATGAATTTTTCATTTACAATCATTTCTCAATAAAGTAGTTAGCAGCTTAGTTTTTAAAACCAAATTCTAAGCGTTTTAAATCTAGTGCTACCTAGCAGATGTCATTTGCTTGTGTTTGTAATCAAACCAAATGTTTCTTAGTACGTTTCACAAGGACATCTAGCTTCCACCGAAGTTTCAAATGATTTCATTATTTGTTCCACTTGCCTCTTCTTCACACGTTTTAATAATATTTTATCAGTAGGAAGTGCGTTATGAGACGTTCACCTTAGGGGTATCACATGTATCTGGATAACTGGTTCGAACTGTATGGTGTTGTAGACGTGTACTGCTCAAGCTACATTGCGCATCGAAACCGTCAAATAGAACCACGGATCAACGAAGTTAATTAGTTGCTCATCACTTATAATGGTTGCGGTGCGTATAGTTCATTTTATACCAGCTATTCCGTACAGTCGACTCGCTATTATTGTACATTAAATATGCCGACATATTGATGGACGACAACAAATGAATCAGAAAATGAAAATGACTAACTGATAGTCCAGAGTGATATAAAATGGAAATAGCTCCACAGTTTAAAAAAGAAAAAAAAGTCATAGGAATTAATAACGCACATGATCCCTGTAACATGTGCGAAGAGATTGCTAAAGGAAGTGTAATAATTTAAGAGAATATAAAGTACTGATGTATTTCAAAAGAATAAATCAATAACATACACCTTTAATGATGTGTTCTTCCGAAGGACTTGCACAAAGCTTACATAATACTTTCGATATGTAATATCTTCGGTAATCGCAAATATTAAAAAACAATGATGAGGAAGGAGTGAAACACAGGAAATCTGAAACGATAAGGAATTAAGAAAATAGGTTTAGTTGATGAGACCCTTATCAAATGCATGGCTATTTTCACGTCCAGTGCATATCCACATTTCTCATGACAAAGTTAAGATTCTGCAGATTGTAACCAAACAATCGAGGATATGTAAGTCTCGCGAACTCACTCATGATTCCTTCGTATCGTCGACAACAAGAAACAACTTTTGGATGAATTTGGTCATTATTTCTGCAATTTTATTGACTTCATCAAATTAATTTATTCAACAGATTGAAAGCAAATATGTGTAAAATGTAAAGTACTGAACGAAAAAAGCAAAAAGCTTCTTGGTGTGCCGAAGCTCTAACCATCGACTAATTTATTCCTGAGGACAGTAATGAAATACAAAGAATCAAATAACAGAATACCTGAAGCCGTTCCAATGCACTTCGGCTTACTTTTCCATGCCACAAATATCACATAAATAGGAACCGCAGTAAGCATTATTCCAATACCAATTGCTGAAAAGAATGCATCTCCTACAAATCCATAAGGATATTAAATCTATAGAAAAACTACGAGATAAAAGAAATTGAAAATCCCTTTTGAATTAAATGAACGGACCTGTATCCTTTGGTGAACCAACGATAGGAACAATCACTAAAGCAATACATCCAAGAAAAAAAACTATCGGAAAGACGAGGTTGACCTGAAAAAATGTGACAGTCATAAAGGTGAAAAATCAAAAAAATAATTCGGAATACCACACAAAGCACTAACCTTAATAGGTCTTTCAGCATCTGGCATTTTTTTTCGCAACCAAAACAGCGCCGCAATTACGCAGGCGATGGCTAACCAATACACTATTTGGATGTAATTGATGAGCGAAAATATATTGTCCGATAAAGCAAGGAATACTATGGAAAGCAATCCCTAGAAAATATCACAATTTCACATACCATAAATACTAAGTCGCTAAAAATAATGTTAAATTAGCATTACTAATGAAACATTAGAAACTGATTACTAAGGCGCTGTACTGTACTAGAAAATGTCTCATGGTGTCTCACAGTTATTTCAATTTCAAATTCAGTTTCTCAAAACCACTCATAAGAATTAGGGTTCATAAAAAATGACAAACCGTGAAAATGACTGCAGGAATAGGTGTACGGGTATTTTTATTGATCATTGTTAAAACCAACGGCATGTGCCCTTCTCGTGCTCCAACGTAAAACAGTCTGGAAAATCAACTTGTTAAGCAAGTGTCAGAATCTTTAGACCTCGAAAAGTCTTGTTCAAAATTAATCAAAAACCTCGACGAAGTGAAAATTACTCCATTTGCTGAACCAATTGTTGAGCATGCAACAAATATAGGCATTATAAAGGCAAATGGTCCAAACATTTTGTTAGCGAATTCCTAAAAAACAAAAAAATACACAGTTCTAGTTTTTTTTTTTAGAACTTATTAAAAACTCATGTAATAATAACATACGCTTGCTTTTTCAAACAAATAGGAAAACACTCAAGGACAGCAGTGTAAACACAACTTACAACAGCAACTGCTGGACTACTCAGCATTTCATCCGGGGTGATCACCGTATATAAAGCAACATTTGTTAACGTATAGATTACTGTGCACACAGTACATGATATGGCAATTGCCAGTGGTAAGTTCCTGAAGTAATTTCTTAACAGTTATAACAATAGCTCAACTATAGATTGTGTTGAACAGAAGATATCATTTATTTTGCACGCTAACATTATAGACGTGATAAACAAAATAACAAAACAAATGGATCAATATACCTTCCCATTTAAAAATAGCTAAAACAAGTCGCTATTAAGTTATACCATAAGAAAAAACTTCTGACAACATTACATTGCAGTGTTTAATAAAAAGCAGTACCGTGTCGGATTCTGCAACTCCTCAACGATGAAATTTAGATAGTTCCATCCCTGATATGCAAAAAGACCGGAATAGAACGCCAGTGATGCAGTTCCA